GCCCCGAGAAAGCACGCAGATTGGGGTATCGCGCCAAGCAAGGTACCACTTTATGATCTCTTTGACGCTCTGTTTCCTGTTTTAATTCGCTGTGCACCGAATAAAAAGTGAATAAAATGGAATGAGGGGAAAACATGAAGAGAGGTTTCTTCTAGGATTTATCATATACCGCGTGAGGGTGCGCCGTGGTGGTCGCAAGCGCCATGTTGTGAAAGGGCAGACGTATGGGAAACCCAAAAACCATGGCGTCAACGAGTTGAAATTTGCCCGCTGCAAGCAGTCCGTTGCTGAGGTTAGCTTTTCTCTTATTTCTGATACGTTCTTGGTTCATTGAGTGTGCAGGAAAACCCAATCTTTACTTAAATTTTTGTCTAATTTTAAGGATATAGGTTTGCATGACAATGTTAATACCTAGCAACGACAACATCGCCCACTGGAGATTGAAACGCGGTAAAATTGAAAGTTTGGATGTAAAATTTGGCGGAACAGATGTGAAATCTCATTAAACAGACGCAGAATTTAATGGAAAGTTGCTGAAATCAGCGGGAAGGGGTCACACCGTTTCAGCAAGGATAGCTCTGAAAACCTTGGCTAGTCTGGACGGATGGAATGCAGGATTAGATTAAGGTGCTACATTGAACTGGCGGGATTCTAAGTTTGATTCACTGTAATTTTTTGATGGATAAGGCCAGCAAAGCGTTGTTTCTTTTTTTCCAATTTACGATTTTGATTGCTTTGAAATGTTTTCTAAAGTTGTGGTTATTTATTCTTGAATTTGTCTGATTTTGGGGATTTGTTGTGGAATATTTTTAGAACATTTTTACAATCTCTTTCACAGGCCTCTTTTACCCTTTCTTGCTTACAAGAGGAAAAGGGCGTCGGCTGGGGCGGTAGTGTTTTATTGGGAGGCCGCGCGGAATCTTAAATTCCAACGTGCATAATTTTCAGTTTTGCATGGAGAAAGCTGAATAGTTTACAGTGCATGGCTGGAACTCTGCATCTGTTTTCTAGAAAATATAGAGTGTTTGTAGGAAAGAGTTGGACGTCGATGTGGTGGCCTTCGTGTGTTGAATTCGTACTGGGTTGGACAGGATTCCACATACAAATTTTATGAAGTTATCATGGTCGATCCTGCACATAAGGTCCGTTTCTTTAAATTCCCAATTTGCTGTGTCTTTTGTTTAAATATACAATATAGAATGTTTGTAAGAAAGAGTTGGACGGGCTTGTGGCTAAATTTAGTCACATCGGCCGTTTTTGAAACTATTCGAGTCACTAATCCTTAGCTTGTTGTCATGGGATGCTGCAAGCACATCGACTTGAATCAGTCGCCGGTAGCGGGATTCCATTTATTGCAAAACAGGGCGCAGGAGATATTACAAGAAAGGAGACTGTCACCTGAGTTGTTTGTTGTATTCGACAGCCTTGCTTATAAGCTTGAAGATTGAATTTGCTGCTCTCTCAGCTCTTCCCGTATCGCTTGGCTCTCTTTCTTCCCTCCACTGTCTATCTACCCGGTGCGCTTGTATGGAGAAATTTGCCGTGTAGAAGGCATATTCGGGTTCTTCTGATTGAAGCTTTTTAGCACTGATGATGTCTGTGTTGAACTTTGTGTTATTAGTTATATATTTATCATTTCGTATAATTTATTGGTTATCACTGTTCAGGCAATCCGAAGAAACCCGGATACACAGTGGATAACTAAGCCAGTGCATAAGCATCGTGAATTGCGCGGTTTGACTTCAGCTGGCCGTCGAAGCCGAGGTCTTGGGAAAGGTCATCATTATTCCGCAACAAAGGGAGGTTCACGCAGGAAGTGCTGGCTTCGTCGTAACACTTTGTCACTACGTCGTAAACGTTGATATCATAAATCGGATGAAAAAAATTGGTGAAATGGGACAGTTGTTATGTCTTTTATTGTTAAGTCTAAAGTAAGGTGATAAATGTTCACATATTGTTGACAGGTTTTTGGAACCGCATTGCGGATTTTCAAAATATTGTGAAGTTTTAGCCAACTGGACTTTCGAAATACATCACATGTGCATCGTGAAAATGGCGAATAGTATCTGAAAATAAGCGACTCGAGACAGAAGGATCTGGCTTAGCTGCTCTTAGCGTAAAAATGCTTCACGGTAGCGCCAAAAGTTCCACTTCGATAGTCTAGACCTCGCTCCTGATCATTATTTAGCGTATGAGTTAATTTCGTTTTTTCACGAAGTTAACTTGAAGAGTTGCTAATGTGGTAGTCAGAGAGGCTTGGCTTTCGTTTGCAATTACAAATTTATGCGTTGGTTTTTTCGACTGGATCCTTACAGATAATAAAATAAATTCGCACAAAGGAGTCTTCAAGTACTTTCACGATTAATCACCTTCTCGGAATTTGGCGTTCCCTCTTCTCGTTTTCAAACTGAATCTTCTTAAATTTTTCGAGCAAATTTCCAATAATATCGTACAGCACAGTCCACGCTTCTTCCGTAAATTGGTCCTCGCACTGCGTACATGCTCGCAATACCGTTATCACTTCTGGCACCATATTCTTAAAAAGGATTTTTTGGGTTTTACTGGGTGGAATTTTTCAGAAATTTAACAGTGAGCGTATGAACAGAATCAAATTCATCCGTCTTCTAAATGAAGGAAAGTTGAGGAACAGGAAACCAGACTCCCGTGCCAGCAATCTGTGAAAGGTTTGCCAGCGACACTCAATGCATAAAGACATGCTACGATGGAACAGTAGCCAATAATGCTTCAGCTACTGACAGTTGTGTTTGAATGATCGGCTCATAGTGTGTTTACTTGCTTACAGTAACATTCATCTCCTGTATTTACCGCAAAATGTCTTACTTCGGCTTTTT